TATAGAGTAGCAGATTTTCACTTCTCAGAAGTTATTTTAGACAGTAGCAGCTTTAAATTCAGACTAATCAAAAATGTTTAATTATCTTTTTTTTTTAAGGAAGAAGGAACATTTCAGATCCTGTTCTGTATTGTGTTTTGCTGTAGTTAAGGTGACTCGCTTATTTAAAAAAAAAAAAAAAATCAAATCTGTTCTTATTTTTCAGGTGCTGCAAGTAAGCGATTTGGCATTGATGGAGACCGTGAAGCTGTTCCTTTATCACTTGAAGTTACTTACAACCAAGTAAGATGAACCATTCCAGTGTATTGATGAATTATTAATGGCACAAGCATGCAATTCTCATTCGTCCCCTCTCATTTTTTGACTTTACATAAAGATACATATCAGTGGCAGAAGTCAGAAGACGAGGACAGAGAAGTCCTGCACCTCTATAAACCTGCTAAAAGCCTGCAGGAATCTTGAGGAACTAGGTAAAAAATAACTTTGATCTTATTATAGACAGAACTAATTTGGATTAGTGCTGTCAACTGTTTAAATTTAAATGTAATGAATTGCATGTTTTGTTTTTTAAATAACAAAAAACAAAAATAACAAGATGGCATTCAAATTACATTCAACTTAATCAACATTGGGCTAATAGGGGCTTAACACCATAAACATATTTGCACATGCTCAAAAGAATATATAATAACCTTCTCAACACAAAAGAACCTTATCAATGTTTAGGCCTAACAATAATCACAGGCAGAGGCGGACAGTAACTAAGTACATTTACTTGAGTATTGTACTTAAGTACACTTTTTGAGTATCTGTACTTTGTCTCCTAATAAAACACAATACGTGTTGGACTTGAAGCAGCACTGCACAGACCGTTCTGTGTGTGACATCAGAGTACTGTTTGTTTTGATGTCAAATAAGTCTTGCTGTTTTGCTAAAGCAGGGTTGCTGTTGTAAAGTTGTGCAGCTACAGTTGTGTTGCTGGGTTTTAAAGCAGGTTTAATATTTTTTTTCTTCCTTATCAGTCTGTATTTACAGCAGTTTCACTCTGTTCAAATGTGGATGAATGGCTGCACATAGATGTGTGCACACACTGTCAGAACTGTGCGAGATCACTACCATACTACCCCCCCATAGGTTTTTAACATTCTAAAAGCTCTTTATTCCAAAGATACTACAAGCTAGTCAGTGTATTCAGCAGGTGTAATGTATTGTACGTTGCTTCAGAAGTATTGCAAGTATTACGTACGACAATAAAACAGTGCATTGACATAAAAAAAGGAAATTTACTTTTGGTACTTAAGTACTTTTAAAAGCAAGTACTTCTGTACTTTTACTTAAGTAAAAATCTGTCTTTACAACTTTTACTTGTAATGGAGTAATATTTGACCAGCAGTATCTGTACTTTCACTCAAGTAATGGAGTTGAGTACTTTGTCCGCCTCTGATCACAGGTGAATTAACAAAATATTGTAATAAATCTTTTCTTTTTCTTTAGATTCTAAAATGGAGTGCCTTCATTTGACAATGACAGAAGTGCTGAAGAGACAAAACTCTAAATCAAAGAAAGGCTACAATCAGGTGAGCAGGAAGGAAATATGGGAGAAAACTGAGATGCGGTTTAAACAGCCCGACACAAACTTAGCGCAAACACCTACAGTTACTCTCATGTGGTTTCTGCAGCAACGTGTAGCAGTCGACAAACAACAACATTTTTTACCAAGAGCAAACATTTTGGTTTTATTTACCTGTTTCTGTACCAGTTTACTTGATACGGCTCATGTATTTACACCTTGGTGTTTTTTTGGTGTCAGTCGTACTTTCATTTTTACAGTGTCAGTGGTTACTCTTCGGTTCAGTTACACCACACACTGACTGTACTTCATCTTGTTTTGTTATTGTTTGAAAAGAAAATATACTGTTGGTTACAAATTTGTTTAACAGATGTTTGAAATGAATGAAGAATAGAGAAAATCCTGAATTTCATATGGAAATATGCATATGTCCTATTGCAAGAGCAATGTAAAAGACATTAACAATGTTAATATAATTGCATAGATTAAGCTCAAATGTTTCTGAATATGAAAATGATTTGGGTGATTCAGGTTGCAGTATTTTTAATATGCAGTACTTATAAAACTGTGGTTTGTATTACAGCAACTGACCACCACACAGGTAAAGGTGGATAAGGTTCAGGTTAGTGGAACTTGCAACACCAACTTCGCAGTTTGTCTGGACCAAGATGAGAAGAAAATTTTACAGAGTGTGACCAGGTACAGTTTATATATATATATATATATATTTTTTTTTTATTTTATTTTTTTTT